GAGCCGGGCTCGGCGATCCGATTCCGATGCGCTTCGGGGCGGCTCGGTGGAGAGCCGACCCGTTTCCGATTCCGATCCGGCTCCGCGATCCGATGCCGGTGCAGGCTTGCCTCCCGCCGCCCGGGGCGGGAGCTTGTTTTTTTTTTGATTCAGGCAAGTTTACTTGCATGTCGTTCGCCCCCCCCCCCCTCGCCCCTCTTCAAGCGAATACTAGCGTGCAAGTGCCTTTCGACTTGCGTGATTTCCGCGCCCCCCCCCCCTGGGGCTTGCTTCAGGCTCAGCCCCCCCCCCCCTTGTCCATGCAAGTAAGCTTGCCAGAGTCAACAAAAAATCAGGCTCCCGCCGCCGGGGGGGGGCTCGGCGGCCTCCGGGCCTTCGCGCGGGCCCTCGGCTCGGGGGCCTCTAGCGGCCCTCACGGGCCCTCGGTGCGGGCGCGCCTCCGGCGGCCTCCGGAGGCCCTCGGCGGCCCCTGCAGGCTCGATCGAGGGCTCGCCCCCCCTGCGGGACCCTGACCTTCCAGGAGGGCTCAAAAATAGCACCAGGACGTCGACGTCCTGATTCCTGTCGAGGTTTGAGGCAGCCCAGATAGATTTTCAGGTCTGGAGTGTTATTTTCTAGCACTCTGGAATGTCATCTGGAATGTCAGGGGAGGGGGGGGGGCCTTCGGCGGCCTTCGGTCGGCTTCGCGCAGGAGTGGCCCTTTTCGCTGTGGAGTGGCCCTTGGCGCGCCCGGCCCAGGGGGGGGTCGGCGAGCGAGCCTGGCCTGCTCGGCCAGCGGAAGGCCAGCGGAAGCCAAAGGGTCGCCCCCAAGTTCCAAGAGGCGGCAGCGCAGCGCGTGGGGGCTCAGGGTTGCCTGGGCCGGCCGGACCTGTGCTGAGGCCTCGAATAGGGCCGGCTGCTGGTTTCCTGCGCAAGATCGCTGGGCAACAGAATCCCAGCGGGTTCCGAAGGGGGTTTTTGGGGAGCGGCCGTTTTCCAGGAGGGGTCCCCCAGGGGCTGTGCACCCCCAGTTTTGACGAGGTTCCGAGGCCCCTGGGGGGCTCTCTGGAAAACCCCCTCCCCCAAAAACCCCTTTTGGAACCCTCCGGGGATCTATGCACACTCGCCCACCCTCCCATCGTGGGCCCGTGATCGGTGTGCTGCATGTCCACGTTTGCCAGGCCAGAGGGGGCGTGCACACCGCTCCCGGAAGCAGGTTGGGCCCGGCCAGGGGGCGGAGGATGCAGTCGAACCCTTCTGCCAGGATGGGCAACCTTTTTGTTGAGGCGGGCCTGTCCCTCTACAGGGGATATATATATATATATATATATATATATATATATATATATATTCAAAAATAGTAAACACAATAGTCTGGGGACTATTTCTTGGCTGCTTTTGGACCATTTTGGAATATGTTTTGCGTGTTTTTTTATTTTTCGTCGACAATCCCCCTGTAGGGAGACACGCCCGACTTAACCTTTCTTCCAAGGGTACCCTAGCATCCGTGCCTCTCTGGTCCATCATGGACTGCTTTCGATGACCTACCGCGCTCGGAAAAGCTCCAACATGGGCGCCCAAAGGGCTCTGCGGCATCATTGCGCATCCCTACTGCCAGCCTTGCCCTGAGCCAGCAGCCCGCATCAGCGCCAGTCTCACCATCCGGGCCCAGCGTTAAGTCGGGCCTGTCCCTCTACAGGAGGAAGATTCAAAGATAGTCGAACAAAAATAGTCTGGGGACTATTTTTAAACATATGTTTTGACAATTTTTGGACATGTTTGGACTATTTTTAACGTGTCTTCGAAAATCGGCCTGCAGGGGGACAGGCCCCACCTGAGCCCAGCGCCTGCCGCGCGGGGCAGGCAGGCAGAAGCCACCACCGAGGGGCTGGAGGGCGCCGGGCCTCCGGCGACCTCCCACGCGCTCCTGGGGGGCCCCGGCATCCTCCGAATGCGTCGCCGCGCCAGCGGCTCCGTCGCGCGGCCTCGCGCCTGGGGAGGAGGGAAGCCGCGGCCACGGGGGGAGAGCGTCGCCTCAAACGCTGGGGTTGCCGCGAGGTTCGCCGCGGTGTCGGCGTCGTCCACTTGGGCTGCAGTCGGGCCTGTCCCTCTACAGGTAGGATATTCAAAAATAGTAAAAAATAGTCTGGGGACTATTTTTTTAGTTTTTTTCTGTTTTAACATTTTGGGGTATTTTTTGATCATTTATATTTTTCGTCGAATATCCCCCTGTAGGGGGACAGGCTCGACTTAAGGCCACGGGGGGAACACGTCGCCTCAAACGCTTGGGTTGCCGCGAGGTTCGCCGCGGTGTCGGCGTCGTCCACTTGGGCGTGTCGAAAACAAGTGGGGCGTTCCTAAAAGGGCCTTGCCTTCGGGGATCGATCGAGTTGTCATCTCTTCCACCGAGGCAGGCGGCGGAAGGTCGGCAGAAGCAAAACGAGGCCGCCTCCGCCACCGGAAGCTGGCGGAAGCTCTGCGGAAGGTGGCGGAAGTAAAAAATGCGCCCCAAAGAGATGAAAACGTTTTTCGCTTCAGGGTTGTCGAAAGCGCCCGAGTGGCACGGCGACAAATGATTGTTTCCATCCACGGCCTCTGAACTTCCGACCCGCCTTCCGGGGGCACTGTTGCGCCCCGGGCCAATACTCGACGGACGGGCCCGATAACGGACTTGGAAGCCGAAGTCAAGGACAACGGGCGGCCAGGGCTGAAAAAGTCATATGGCGCGTTCCAGGAAGGGCCTCGCCTGCGAAGATCGAGCGAGTTGTCCTCTCTTCCTCGGCGGGAGGCCGGCGGAAGCTGGCGTATAAGTAGAAGATGCGCCCCCGAGCGAAGGCAGCGCTTGGGGGCTCATGGCTTCCGGAATCGGGTAGCTTCTCAGTGAGTTTGGGGGGCCCTCGACCAGGCCGAAGGCACGTCGAGCCCCCCCCCGGGCGCATCGCGCGGTCGTGACTCAGGAGGGGAAAAAACACACAGACACAATTATTCGTCGATCCCTGGGAAAATATGGGAAAATATCGGAAGTGGTGGGGAGGACCAAAACATAGAAAATATAGTGCTTGAAGGATGGGGTACTCCTGGTGCCTGGGCCGTCTCATACGTGTGTCGCCGTGGGCCTGTTTTCCGTTCCGCAATCCCACGGCTCAAGTTTTTCAGGGTGAAATGCCTCCGCAGGGACTCGGACGGGTCCTTCTGGCGGCCCTCACAGGAGCTTGGTTGGCCCCATCGCCCCTCCGTGTCTGGCTTGGCGCGCCGAGTGGCGCTCCCCTGGCGGCGAGCTGCGCCGCCCCTGCTCCAGCGCCGCGCTGGAACAGCAGCTGCCCTGCGATCTGTCCCGACCTCAGCGAGGTCTTGGCGGAGCTCCACGAGCAGCGGCGTGAGCGCGAACGGCTGGCCGCTGGGCGCGCAGAGGCGCTGCAGTCGGGCGTGCCCTGGCACGTTGAGGTGGTGACGGCCATCTTGGGGAGCCTGGCCTTCTATGCGCACGTGGTGGCAGGTGGCAGGTCTTATCTGGTCCTCTCTCGTCTTTGTTCTCAATGGCTGTCGCTGGTGTCGCCAAACCTGGTCTGCACGTTGGGCAGAAGGTGCTTCTCCTGTACGGGGACGAGCCGAACCTCTGGCACGAGGCGAGCATCCTCCGGAAGAGCTCCGAGACGTGCTACAGGAGGATCCACGGCGAGGACCCTTCAGTGAACAGTTGGCTCTGGTGGATTCTGACAGTGGACGGCGACGTGTACCCGCAGGATCTCTCCGTGCCCGGGGACCTGCAGGCCCTTCGGCTGCTTGACGCCGGAGGGGAGGTGACTGGAACGATGTATGGGCGAGGCCCCGACGTGGTGTCTCGGTATGGCTTTGGGGCAGGTCGGCGGGAAGGCCCTCTCGATGTGCCTCTCTTTCTCCGTGCCAAGGCTGTGACCGACGAGGAGGAGCGCAAGGAAGGTGGCCATGGGGACGCTCTCGTGTCGAAGTCGCCTCCTCCCGCTGCGAGTGGGAAGATCTGGCGGATAGCCTTTTCATCAGATCAATATTTCAGTCGTGGTGCCGAATATCCGTCTGGAGTCGAGGGCCACCAGTTCACTCTCGTGAAGCAGGGCGATAATGACGCCATGATGGTGGTTACTCCTGAAGGGGGTCCTGCAGTGCTACTCCGCCACCGCCGACTCGATCGACGAGGACGCCGACACCTGGACCCTCCCAGTGGTGTGGCGGAACAACGCCCGCCGCCGTCGCTTTGTGGGGGCCGTCGACCTGATGCAGCATCACGACTACGGCGACTCCCCTCTAGAGGGGGAGGCTTCAATTCTTTACGCTTCGCGTATCCCCACCAGCCCATCTCACAGCAGCAACTCTTGCGAAGCATGCCGACAGTCGTGTTTTTCAGGCGTGTGTCCGCTTGGCCCCGCATATCTCCCCTGTTCCTCCTTCCTCCCACCTCCTTGTACATCCTCCTTGTGGGGGGATCGGGAGAAGGACGAGGCGGAGGAGGAGGGAGAGAAAAGGCTCCTCGTGATTTGAGTCGTTTGGGGTTTCTCGTCCTGGTGTGAGTCGTTCGGGCCCTTCTTCCTGGTGTGAGTCGTTCGGGCTCTTCGTGGTGTGAATCGTTCGGGCTCTTCGTCCTGGTGCGAGTCGTTCGGGCTTCTCGTGGTGTGAGTTGTTCGGGCCCCTCATCCTGGTGTGAGTCGTTCGGGCCCCTCCTCCTGGTGTAACTCGTTCGGGCTCCTCGTGGTGCGAGTCGTTCGGGGCCCGCGTCGTGGTGTGAGTCGTTCGGGCTCCTCGTGGTGTGAGCGGAACAACGCCCGCCGCCGTCGCTTTGTGGAGGCCGTCGACCTGATGCAGCATCACGACTACGGCGACCCCCCTCTAGAGGGGGAGGCTTCAATTCTCTGGTACTTGGAAGAGATCGCTCGAAATGGAGAGGGTGGCCCCGTCCAGCGCCACTACAACTGGGCCCACCAGTTGAACTCAGGTGGCGATCGCTCGGTGCACGAGCACTTCTGCATCATGGAGGTTCTCGAGTTGGCGGCCGAGGTCGACCAGTTCAACATCCCCACGCTGGTCTCTCTGGAGGCGCTCGGGAGGCGTGCCATGCTGATCGAGCAGGCGCACCTCAATTCTCCTGGCAGCCCCGACTACACCGGGGCCGACGACTTCACGGGCTGGGGCCCGGGCCGTGGCAGGGCCCTGGTCGCCCCAACTTTGGTCAAGCACGTGGCTGAGAAGGCTCGTGACAAGGCGTCTGTGCATAAGGAGTTGCGCAAGCACAATGAGGAGCTTCGTTTGAGGAAGCCGCCCAAAGGCCCCAAGAAGGAGGGCCAGGACGGCGATCATTCATGATGAACGGCGATGGCCCCTCCCGCCGCCCGAGGGTGGGGCCGAGATTAGGGCGCTCCTCGCCACGCGGCTGGGCTTTCTCGCTGGAGTCGTCGCTGAGGAGCGTGACGTCCCGCGGGGGCTTTTTCCTCTACCGTATGTGCCTCAGGAGCCGGTCGCTGGTTCCCACCTCTCCCGGGGAGTTCGGCAGCGAGTCCAAGGACGACGTCAGCTCACGGACGAGGTGAATGAGAGCATTTGGGCCCTCAATTGGCTCGTGGGTTCTTCCACCGCCAATGCCAAGTTTTCTTCTCTTGGGCAGCGGGCCGCCGTTGACCACCTGTACGAGACCATCAATTCTTTTCGGCCGCCGCCTCAGGCGGTCCCAGACGAGGAAGCCATGCGTGCGCTTCTCGGCAGCAGAGTCCCTTATGGCGGGGACGATGACTTGACAGTGGTTCCCTACGACCGTGCTCTGGTGTCTCTCCCCGGTGACGGGCGAGTTCCCGTGCCCCTTGCCGAGGTGCTGCCGCCGGACGCCGCAAAGATGATCGTAGATTTTGACACCCACCTGCTCAAGGACGACAACCAGTGGGGAGCGGAGGTGGAGCGTGGTCTCGAACACATCGGTTCTTACATGGACCCTCGGCTCCGCTTCAGCCGCCGCAGTTATCTCAACTTCATCGGGGACCTGTTCAGAGGTGGGCTTCTCGCCCGGCGACGTGCCGACCAAGTTCGAGGTAGGATCTCTGTATTTTTGTACGAAAGAAGTCGGGCAAGCAGCGCCTCGTCGTCGACTGCAGACGCGTGAACGCCCGCTTCCGAGAGTGCCCCCACGCGCCGATGGGTTCGGGATCATCCTGGGCCGACGTCGTGATGGACACGGACACTGACATGTATCTCCCGCTTAGTGACGTGAAGGACTACTTCTACGCCTGCGGTCTGCCGCCAGGCCTCGAGAGCTTCTTTTGCCTCCCCGACATCACTGGGGAAGAGCTGAAGGTGGTCGCCCAGGGCGACCCCGCCTTTGGATACTTGTGGGGCTCCACGGCGGTCGCCCCCGCTATGAAGGTGATGCCGATGGGGTGGACTTGGAGTTTCTTCTTCGCGCAGGTCCTGCACGCTCACCAGGTCCACCAGATCAGACCCTGGTCGCCCGGCGCGGTCATGCAGGATCGCGTCCCTCCGCCTCCTTTCAGGACGGGGACCGAGCTGGCTCTGCCCTACTGCGACAATTTCGTTGCGGCTGCCTCCTCTCTCGCACAGGCCGACGCTCTCCGAGAAGATTGTAAGCGCCGGATGACCTCGCTCGGCTTCGAGGTCCACGAGGAGGAGGCTGCCCGCCACTGGGCCGAGTCCTTGGGGTTCGCCATCGACGGACTCACTGGGGAGCATCGCCCTAGCCCCGTCAATGCGCGGCGCCTCCGCCAGGTCTGTCGTCGCGTGAGCCGCCAGCGGCCCAGGCGTAGCGGTCGGCAGCTGGAGCGGCTCTTGGGACATGCTATTTTCCAGTTTCTGGGGCATCGGCCGCTACTCTCTGTCTTCCGCAGTTGCTACACCTTCGCGCAGTGCCACTACCTCCGACCGCGACGGCTCTGGCGGACCGCCGCCGAGGAGCTCCGTGCCGCCGCTGCTCTGCTGCCCTTTGCGCGGGCCAACATGCGGCGGCCCTGGGCTTCGGAGGTGGAGGTGTTCGACGCCAGTCCTGCCGGCTGCGGGATCATGACGGCGGCCCTGCCAGAGGAGGTGGTCTCTGAGATCGGGAAGGTCGATGAGAGGTGGCGTTGCGCTTTCCAGTGCGAGCAACCTGGCGGGCCTCGTGAGCACGCCCTCCGTTCGGCCCCTCCTGTCGAGGAGTGTTTCAGCAACGTTGAGTCCGTTCTCCCTCGCGACTGGTCTCGGCGACGGTGGCAGCCCGCGCAGGACTTCCCCGAGGTCCCGGCGTCCATCTTCCAGGATTTTGATTGGCGCGAGTGCGTGGCTGGCCGCTGGAGAGACGAGGGGCATATCACTATGCTTGAGGGGCGCGCGGGGTTGATATCTGCGCGGCGCACCTGCCGGTCGCTGTCCAATCGAGGCAAGCGGCATCTCAAGATAGGTGACAATTTGGGTATGATCCTTGCATTTGCCAAAGGACGTGCGGACAACTTCGGCTTGCCGATGCTTTGCAGGAGAAATGCCGCGTTCACGGCTGCAATGGACATGACAATTCGATGGCGTTGGGTTCCTTCAGAGATCAATGTTGCTGATGCCGCCTCTCGTCGTTATCTTGCTGCGGATCACCGCAGCCGCGAGCGAGGCCTGGCCCGCCTCAAGCTTCTTCGAGGCTCGGGCTTGGGGCCACCCGCGGCAGCTCGCGTGGGTGATGAGACGACTGCTGCCGCCTACACAGGCCAAGCGGCCCCATGGCGAGGCATCTGCTGGTCTCCCACAGGGGCCCGCCGGCAGCCGCCGAGTCAAGGAGCCGCGGGTCTCACGGGTGCTGCAGGCGCCGCATCGCCAGGCGTGCTCCGCCCCCCGCGACGGCAGCCGGGGGTTGCCGCCTCCGACGCACCGCCGCCTGGCGGGGGCCGCCTCAGCGCGGACGCTGCCCGCCAACGCCGACCGGGGCCGCAAGCTGCAGATCCTGGCGCGGCGGGCGCGGGCGAGGACCCGCCGAGCGGCCGTCGAGGCGGGGGACCGCGAGATGCAGGAGGAGCTCGAGCTGAAGGGGATCATGGTGAGCCTCCTCGAGATGAAGTCCGTCGGCAAGCAGTCGATCCCCTACTATCTCCAGAAGTTCAGGGAGTTCTTGGACTTCGTGGTCGACCACGGGTTCGACCTCCACAAGGACGAGGACGTGGACGAGGCGTTGGTGCAGCTGATGGACCTGTTGTACTTGGATGGGTGGCAGGTCGACCAGGGCGAGAAGCTGCTCGCGGCGGTGAAGCTCGGCATCCCGCGCTTCTCCAGAGCGGGGCTAGGCGGCCTGCCGCGCGCGGCCCGCGCCCTCCGCGGCTTTCGGAAGGCCGCTCCCGTGGCCTGCCGCTTCGGGCTGCCGCGCGCGTGGGTCGTCGCGATCATCGCGGCGATGCTCTGGCGCGGGAGGCTGGAGAGCGCCCGCCGGGTGGTGGTGATGCACGATGCGCACCTGCGCACTGGCGAGGCGACACGGCTCCGGGCCGAGGACTTCGCCCCACCGGTCGGAGACCATCGCGGCCACGAGCGCGGCGTGCTCATCCTCGGCTCCTCGAGCGCCGGGGTCCCCACCAAGACGGGCGTGCTGGACGACGCGGTCACCCTGTCGGACTGGGATTTTCCAACCAGCAAGGTACTGGGGCTTTTGAAGGCCCAGCGGGCCCCGCACGAGCCCCTGTTCGTCACGAAGCCCGCTGCCTTCAGGAAGGACTTCGATCAGGCGTGCCTCGACCTCGGGCTCGACAAGCGGAACCTCACGAGCTACCAGCTCCGCCACAGCGGCCCGAGCCGAGACGCCCTTCTCGGGCGCCGCGCGCTTCCCGACATCATGAAGCGCGGCAGGTGGGCCACCCCCTCCTCGGTGAAGAGGCGCGAGAGGCACGGAGTGATGCAGAAGGCGCTGGCCAGCAGCCCGAAGGAGCTGCTCGACTTCGCCGCGGCTGTCGAGTCCTCCATCGTGGGAGCGCTCCTTGGACGGCCGCCCCAAGTGGCCAAGCCGCCCCGTGCCTGAAGCGCCGAGTTGCAGCCGAGATCTTCTCCGGCTCAGGGCAGCTCGCCCGCGCTCTCGCTCGGGGCGGAGTCCCCACTGAGGCCTATGACGTCGCCGACGGCCCCGGTGCTGATCTGTTGCGGCCAGGCGTCGTGAGGCTTCTTCGTGACAAAATTCGTGCTGGCTCTTTTTGTTTCATGTGGTTCGGTGTGCCGTGCAACACTTTCTCACGTGCCACTGATCGTCCTAATGGGCCGCGCCCTCTTCGCTCAAACACTTATCTGTATGGTTTGCCCAACCTCGATGCAAAGCAGCGTGCGCGTGTGTCGAACGCCAACAGGTTAGTGCGTGTTGTGTGTAGTCTAGCTCGTGAATGCAACAAATGTCACGTTCCATGGGTCATAGAGAATCCTCGGACCTCCCGCCTGTGGCTTTTAGATGAGATACAGATTCTTGAGAGGAAAGCGTCCGCCGTTGTGCTAGATTATTGCATGTATGGGATGCCCTGGAGAAAGTGCACTCGTTTTGTTGGCACTCTCCCGGGCCTGGAATCGTGGGAGCGCCGATGTACGGGGAGAGTGTGTCGACGCACTGGCCACCGCCACCAGGCCCTCGAAGGCAAAGACGCCTCAGGTGTTTTCTGGACCAGGCGGGCGGAGCCATATCCCACTTCTCTCTGTAATGCTATCTCCTCCTCTGATCACCCCTGGTTATGAAGGGTTGACCCGGTAAGTGCATTCGAGCCGGTTCAGCCGTCAACGGGGGGGGGTGTTAGTGGTGGAGCGTTTCCGCCGTTATTCATCGTTCCAGGGGGGTCAATTTCGATCGGACCCCCGGTCATTTTTCCTAAGTGGGGGGTCTGCCTGCGCGCGATGTGTCAGTTGTCGGCTTCTGCTGCTGCTGCTACTGCTGCTGCATGCTGGTGCTGCTCCATGCTGCGGCCCCAAGAGGCCCCCAAGAGCGCCCCGAGACGCCCCCAAGAGCGCCCCAAGAGGCCCCCAAGAGAGCCCCAATATTTTTTGTTTTTTCTTTGATCCCTCGGGGAGCTTTCGGCGGCCCCCGAGAGGCCCCCAAAGGCTCCTAAGAGGCCCCCAAGAGGCCCTCAAGGGCCCCCAAGAGGCCCCCAAGAGGCCCCCAAGAGCGGCCCAAGAGGCCCCAGGAAGCCAAAATAATTATTACAGAAAAAGTAGCGGAAATCACAAATTTCTAAGATTTCGGGGGACCCGCCGCTTTCGCCCCTTGTTCTGAACACTTTTTGGCGCGTCGCCGCGGCTGGTTTTTATTGGCCTGCGCGCGAAAAAGCCACCCCCGGCCCGCCCGGAGGGGCGTCCAGAAAATTTGCTTTTTGGGGGTTCCATTATTCAGGGGACATTCAAAAAACCCACAGTTTCGGCAGGCCCCACGAATAGTGGAAGCGGGGGCCGGGGGGGCCCGAGACGGCCAGAAAAGGATTCCAAAATCGTCAAAGTGCGGCCTTGGAGGCCCCATGATGGCCTCAAGAGGCCGCGATATTTCCCCAAGAAGGCGCCATATGGCTTCAATGGTTTCCAAGACGCTCTTGGGGGCTTTCGGGGCCTGTATGCGTTCTTATGGGGGCCTGATGGTGGGCTTCTTGAGGCCTCATGGGGCCATGTCGGGGGCCTTTGGGGGCCCTTTTGAGGGCTTCTGGGGGCCTTATGGGGCCATCTTGTGGGCATGTGGGGAGCCTTTCGGGAATATTGTGGCCTCTGGTGGTGGTTTGGGCCCCTGTCCAACGACTTGTGTCGTGCCAAGCCAGAGTGATTTGCTCATGAGATGATTCTGCAATGCGTCAAAAGCTTTATTCATCGCCGGAGTGGGGTGTTGTGTTTGAAGTTGGGTTGTTATGGTTCGAGAACCCCCCCTCGTGTGGCGCCGTTAGAATCGTTATTGTAGTGGCCTTCGGCCAGTGCCGCCGATCCGGGTCGCTCGGGGTTATTCTCCAGACGCAGAAATTATGGGCGCACACTCAAACGCACACACACAGTCACACCACTTAACCTGCGCCGCAGACATGCGCACACAGCATCACCCACACACACATACTAGTTGGGAAACGCTCCTGTAGTACTAGTAGTAGTATTAGTAGTAGTAGTAGTAGTAGTAGTAGCAGTAGTAGTAGTAGTAGTAGTAGTAGTAGTGGTAGTAGTAGTAGTAGTAGTGGTTGTGGTAGTAGTGGTAGTAGTAGTAGAGGCCTCGTTCCGCGGCTTCTCTCGACTTCCCGCGGTCTCTCTCAAGTTTCGAGCACGCGGTGAGTTTCACGATATATGTGTGTGTATGTACGCGTGCATGCATGTATGCATGCATTGATCATGTGTGCCTGTGTGTAGGTACGTATGTATGTATGTATGCTTGTGCGCGTATGTATGTATTTAGTTTGTATGTATGTTTGTATGTGTGTATGATAATATGTGTGTATGTGTGTGAATGTAAGTATGTATGTCTGGAAGATTGTTTTTCTATGTATGCAAATGTGTTTAAATGTAGGTATGTATGCATGTGTGTATGGATGTGCGTTTGAAGAGCGAGGATGTTTCAAAGAAGAGGCACTCGGTGACGCGATCGTTGAGGGATAGGAGTGAGGTCGCAGAGGAGGAGGAGGAGAATGAGGAAGAGGCGATAACTTGAAGGAAAACGATGAGACGGAGGACATCCTGCCGGTGGCGCCCTGGGCGGTGCCGCGGAAGAAACCGGGGGCCTGCCGGAGGCAGTCTGGAGGCCTCTGGGGAGCTGTTTTGGGGCCTCTTGGAACCTCTTTTGGGCCTCTTGTGGGCTTCTTGGGGCCCCTTGGGGGTCTCTTGGGGCCTCCTGGGGGCCTCTTGGGGCGGAAAGCTCGGTTCTTTCGGTTCGTGGTCCCCCTCTTGGGCCCCTCTTGGGGCTCTCTTGGGGCCTTCTTGGGCTGTCCAGAGGCCCTCTTGGGCCGTCTTGGGGCCCTCTTGGGCCGTCTTGGGGCTCTCTTGGGCCGTGTTGGAAGCATCGTGGGCCGTCTTGGGACGGACTTGGGGGCCTCTTGGGCCGTCTTCGAGCGTCGGACGCCCGAAAAGGCAAGAACGCTAAAAACCCTGAGAAAACCAATGAAAATCAACGATTCTGGCCTCTTGGGGCCCTCTTGGGAGGCCTCTTGGAAGCTTCTTGGGGCGTCTTGGAGACACCTTGGGCCGTCTGGAGGCCATCTCGGGCGTCTTGGAGCGATTTTTCGGCGACTCGGGGCCCTCTTGGAACCCCTTGGGGGTCTCTTGGGCCCCCCCCCTCCTCCAAAGCGCCGGAAAAAGCGGAGCATGGCGCCCCCCCCCCCCCTATCTTCCACTCCCCCGGAGCGGCCCCGGGGTTCGCCGGAAACTCGCACCCCCCCCCCCCCCCCCACCCCCCCTTCCCCGGCAGAGCCACCCCGGCGACCCCCCCAGAGGCTGAAGCTCAGCCTCGAGGCTGTAGCTGAGACTCCTTGAAACTCACACGCCGGATCGGCGGATTTATCCTTCCAGGGGGTGAGTTAGAGCGAGTCAGGTTTTTCATTCGTCACGGCTGAGGGAAGGTTGAGTGTTTCGCGATTTATTTGTATTATTCAAGCCTGCTGCGACCAGGGTCCAGCGTTGTATTGCCGGGGGTGATCTCCTCTGTCGTCGCCTCCCTCCCTCCTCTCCCTCATTAGAACAGCTTCTGGTGCTGGGGACGGGTTGTGGGCCCTCGCCGTCTGTGTACGTCTCATCGTGACAGTTTCGCTCGGGCCCAGTCTTTAGGCAGGCGATGCTTCTAGGTAGCATCTCGATATGATTCCAGTTTCTCTGGTCTTGGCATAAAGGAGTGCTTGAAGGATGGGGTACTCCTGGTGCCTGGGCCGTCTCATACGTGTGTCGCCGTGGGCCTGTTTTCCGTTCCGCAATCCCACGGCTCAAATTTTTCAGGGTCCTCCTGCCTCCTCTCCTCCTCCACTTCCATCTGGGTTGTGGGCCCTCGCCGTCTGTGTACGTCTCATCGTGACAGTTTCGCTCGGGCCCAGTCTTTAGGCAGGCGATGCTTCTAGGTAGCATTTCGATATGATTCCAGTTTCTCTGGTCTTGGCATAAAGGAGGAAAATATGGGGAATCTTTTTATTTGTGTGTATTTACTTGTGTGTCCCAGTTTCCCTTTAGTGACCTCCGGCGCCAGCGGCCCCGGAGGCTGCTCGGCACGTGCCAGGCCCCGTCGGCGCTCGCGGCCGCAGTTTGCAAGCGGCGGCCGCGGGAGCCTCGACCTGCCCCCCGCGCGCGGGGGGGGGATCAGACATCCAACGTCCTGGGGATCGTTTTTTTCCCAATCAGCCCTACCCATCGGTCGTTGAAAGTAGGTGTTTTTGGATTCCCAGATTCCAATTTACTTTCAGCGCCTTCCTACTTCAAGAGTCGAATGGTTTTCCTTCTTCCTTCCTCTTCAGGAGGCGTGCGGAAACCCAATATGTTCCCAACGCCTTCCTACTTCATGTTTCTACCTACTTCTTCCGACCGATGGGTATAGCCATATATAGCCCTACAACTCTATAGCCCGATAGCTCCATGGCCCTATAGCCCCCTTAGCCCTATAGCCCTGATTTGGGTTTTTCTCCGGTATCATTTGTTTCGTGCTTCTAATTGCTGCGTAGCGGTCGTTACTCAGGGGGGGGGGGTCCCGGTTGATGGTAACGCTTTGGCTGGGTGGGGCACCGCGGGGTGGGGGTGCGCTGGGATCGCAGCAGTATGCGCGCGAACACCGCCATGTGGGGGGACCGTCCACCCCTACCCCCACCCCCCATTCGCACAATCGTTACCGTTACCGGGGGTGACGGGAGCAGGGGAGCTTGGCCAGGGTGACGACCTTTACGCGCCAGAGGATAAACAACAATCTTCTGTTAGGGCGGAGGCTTTTCACAGTTTTCAGCCTTCGGGGGCCCTCGCCGGGCCCTGGGACCGTGAAAAGACCACCCGGGACGAAAAGCCGGCCCTGGGGGTCGAGATTGCCAGGGGCCGCATATACCCAAACATAAAAATCAGAACATCGGATGTGTGGGAGGGGTTCTCTCCCCTGGACCAGTTCCCTGGCAGCTGCAGCTTGCACCCCCGTCGCGCCGGCCCGCCCGCCGAGGCGCTGCTTGAGGTCGCCGGCCCGTCGGCGTTAGGCAATTCGGCTCTTGCGCGGCCCGCTCGGACCTGACTCGCCGCTGGCGCTCCCGCCTGCGGTTGCGACAAGAATGTGTGGGAGGAGGGAGAGCGGGACGGACGGAGGTCAGGGGCAACGTTAGGGGGGATAGGCTCAGGGGAAATGCATGATTAGGCCCCCAAAGTTATTGCTGGCAGGGGCCCGATAGCCCACCCCTGCCAGCAACGTGCGGTTTCGCCAACGGGAGCCTGGCGCCGATCTATCGGCGGCGCACCGCCGAGTCCGAGCTTCTCTCCCTGATCCAGTCCCCCCAACGCACCCGGACATGATCGCGTCGTAAAAATCTGGACTGAAGGTTTTTGGCCATTTTCGGCCTCGGGGGGCCCTCGCCCGGCATCAGGACCATCAAAAAACGAGTCAGGATGAAGAACCGTACCCAGGGGAAATGTCGGGATTTCTAGGGACTTTGCATGGAGAAAATCAGGACGTCGCATGTCTGGGCATTGTGCCCCCTCAAGGAGGAGGGAGGAGGCGGGGAGGATGAAAAGGAGGTTGGCGGCGCGCACAGCAGGGGTGTTTCGCCGGGGGCGACCATCCAAGTTGGCGGGGGGGGGGGCTTACTCGTGCAAGCGGTCCCCTTGGGGGCGCTCCTCAGAGAGGCTTCTCATGAGGCTGGGCGGGCTTCTGGGAGGTCACCTTCTCAGAGGCCCCTTCCGCCTTCGTGGAGGGCCGCCCCCTTCACGCGTCCCCTTGTGCGCGCCGCCAAGAGGCGGACGAGAGTCGCAGAGGAACCAGTGGAGCTCCGCGCGGATCTCTCGGATCGGCGTTGGACCCCCCTCCCCTGGCGCGGGGGAAGCCGCAAGGGCGGCACTGGAGGCGCCGCCAAGGGGGTCCGACGCCGATCCAAGAGATCCGTGCGGAGCCCTGGACAGTTATCGTATGTTCATGCAGCTGTTCATATTGATCGCTTCGCTCATTCCGCCAGCCCGTATTGTGCTATCGCTGCCGTTTGCCTGCGCGTCCGTGGCCCATGCGGCATTGTTCGGCGGCGGGCACGGAGGTGAAGCAGTTGCTTTGCAGCTTGTCGTGGGGGTGCTGGCCCCTACTGTCCCACCTGTCTTGGTTGTGGGTCGGAGTTCTTAGGGAGTTTTTTGGGGTCTCTTCGGAGCGCTCTCGGGAGCTTCTGGGGGTCAGTTTGGGGCCTCTTGGGAGCGTCTTGGGAGCCTCTCGGGAACCTCTTGGGGGCCTCTTGGGGCTTCTTGGGTGCCGAAGGCTTGAAATGTCCGTTCGGGTCCCCCGTCTGGGCTCCCTCTTGGAGCCGTCTTGTGGGCCTTTTGGACAGTTTTTGGAGGCCTTTTGAGCCGTCTTGGGCCCTCTTGGGCCATCTAGGGGCCCTCTTGGAGGGACATTGGGCCGTTTTGAGGCGATCTTGGGGGCCTCTGGGACCGTTTTGGAGTGTCGAGAAACCGAAAAAGCGAGATCTCCGATGGAAAATCACAGATTTGGGCCTTTTGGGAGTGCTCTTGGAGGCCTCTGTGGGCGTCTTGGAGGTCTCTTGGGCCGTCTAGAGAACATCTTGGGCGTCTTGGAGCGATCCTCGGGCGTCTCGGACCCATCTTGGACCCTCTTGGGGGCCTCGTGGGGCCCTCTTGGCCCGTCTTGGGGCCGCCGCGGGAGTCCCGGCATCCTTGACCAGAGCGTCCGGGGAGTGTCCCCGGGAGCGTCTCGGAGTACTTTTCTCGACCGGGGGCCCCGGACCAGGGGCCGCCACGCGCGCACGAAGTGGAAGCGTTTTAGAAGCGTTGCCGGAGATCGTAGCGCGCCTCTGGCCCGCTGGGCCAGCGCACCATGCTATGCTACTTGTTGTTTTTGGCTTTTTGCAAGAGGAGAGCGAGGAGGAGGATGGGAGGAGGGGCGCAGGGAGGGGGAGGCAGACCACCGACCAAATTGCCAGGTCTGCGAGCGGGCCGCCGTTCTAAGGCCCTGCGGGGCCACGCCAGGATCCGCCTGGGGGCGACACCCTTGCCCTGGAGAGGACGCGGCCTGCTTGGAGGAGCGACGAGGAGGAGGAGGAGGAGGAGGAGGAGGAGGAGGAGGAGGAGGAGGAGGAGGAAGACGAGGAGGAGGAGGAGGAGGAGGAGGAGGATGAGGAGGAGGAGGAGGAGGTGCGAGGAATAAGACAAACATTTGAATGAGGAGGAGGGGGCGCAGCGCCCGCCTCCCCCGCGCCCGTCGCGCCCCGGCGCCCGGCCGGAGGCACTCCATCTGCGACGGCGGGACCTCCATGCTCAACGGCACCGCTGGGGGAGCAGCTCCTCGCAGCGAGACGACGACGAGCGGCGGCGGCGTTCCGGGGGCGGATCTCCCATAGAGAGGGTGGGGAGGGGGGGCGTGGCACAGGACAGTCGGGCGGGCGGCCGCGCGGAGTGCGCGGCTGCGGTGCGGAGCGCCGCGGCTCGCACTCCGTGAGGGCAGCTGCGCTAGCCCTGCGCAGGTGGAGCGCGGCAGAGGGAGGGGGAGCGACGAGGGAGGAGGGAGAGGAGAAGGGGGGCGAGGAGGGAGAGAGGCACAGGCAGGGCGAGAAGCGTGGAGGATGCAGGAACATCCGGTGCCGCAGGGCGCAGCAGCGAATCTCGTGCTGTCGTGGCTGGCACCTGCGAAACAGCTCCTACATCCTGGGAGCACAGAACTGGATCGCGTGCGAAGCGCGCCTAGCATCATCAGAAGTACCCTCCTCATCATCCTTTCCCCTCCCCTCCCCCCCCCTCCCCCAGGGTCCCTCGCAGAAATCCGCCGCGAAGCGTCGGTCTGAACAGAAGGGCCTCTCGCGGCGGAAACCGTCGCAAGCAGAAGCAGTAGCTCCTCGCTTCACCCTTTCGCATCTCAGTCTGGCAACCCTTATTCTTCATTAACGTTATCATGTTGCCGTCGTTGAGGCAATGCATATTTTCAACATTTCCATGACCGTTCGTTGTTCATCGTGGCCCTCCCGGATCGTATTCGTCATCCTCCGTCCTTCTTCCCTTTGCACATCCTCGCTCCTTCTCCTCGTCGTCTCTTCCTCGTCGTCGCAGGCCCCCCCCCGCTCCGATGCCTATCGCTACTCTGGTGCTCCTCCTGCTCCCCATCCCGATCTGCTGCTCCTTCGTCGCCAGCCGCTGTTCGGGGCATGGCCCTTGCTGGCCCGGGTTTGCGCCGGTCTAGGCTAGAGCGCGCCCCGGCCCCCTCGCCCCGCCTCCGGGGGCAGGCGGCACCGACGGCGGGGTCTTGCTGCCCGTCGGCGGGAACTGGGAGCGGCAGTGGGGCAGATACGGCCAGGTCGCCGCCCGCCCCTCTGGCCTACAGTCAGCACGCTGGGGCAGGAACCGCTCTGGATTCATGGGTGGCTGTGGTTTCAGGACCGCTCCTCAGATGTAG